TATTGGTTAAAGAGAGTTTATAACAAGCGTCTAGACTTTTTAGACACTATCACTCACGAAGAGGGAACACGGACTCTATTAGGTAGGGTGAAGTGTCCACACCTATAGTTCTACGACTAATCTGACGGTCTACTAAATAACCGGTCGTACAACACGGACCGATCAGCGACACGGTGTCATTTACAGGTGAGACTTTGCAACGTCACAGACGAAATAACCCGCCACAAAGACCATATGGATCCGGAAGGCCGACCCCAGGCTTTTTGGGATCACAATGAGATAGTGGGATTGTACAGTTGGTAACTCGTACAAACCCTACGAGACCTAGCCGCATATGCTGTCGCACAAGGCAGGACGTTATAAGTCGTTGAAGCGTGTCGGTAACTTCTCCCTCACCTGGGTGTAAGGTGTCCGGTGTTAGTTGTTGGAACCCTAGTTGAGATCCCGTTCCCTCTACACAACGTTGCGCGCTCCGTTTACCACCAGTGTGTCTATGACTGACCAAAAGCCTGGGGGGTCTGGGGGGGTTATTTCTGTTTTTACGTGAAAGTCTCACCGGAAAATAACACCGGTCTGAGTTCCGTTGTGGACACGGTTATTAGTCACGACAGAATTAGTCGTAGAACTATACGGTGTGGACACGCCACCCTACCTAATAGAGCCGTTTCCTCTTCACCGGTGATAGTGTCTAAAAAAGTCTAAACACTTGGTTATAAACTACTCTTACCAATAAAACACATATATCTTTACAAAATCAAACTCAAGTAGAGTACTTTTTACCCTCGTTTTTGTTTTCACAACGCAAATATAAAAACAAGTCACATAATGGACCGTCACAACACCACACACAACACACACACACACACACACACACACACACACACACACGCACCACACACACACACACCACACACACACACACACACACACACACACACCACACACACACACACACACACACACACACACACACACACACACACACACACACACACACACACACCACACACAACACACAACACACACACACCACCCTAGCCTTTTTAGGTACTGCTACTACCGTTTTTTCGCCTTTTTTCATAGGGGACGGTCAAATCTCAAAGGAACAGTTACATTATTTATCGAAGAGATAGAATTACCGTCGTTTTGTCTCCTCCCTTCCACTTTTTCTCAATATAGATTTATCCCGACCTATAACCTTCTACTAGGAACAGACACAAGCGAGCGAGGAGATTCGTAGGGAGAAAGGTCGCACTCTGCCACACTCTGCTGTGTTCCTTCCTATGTGCCCCTCTATAAATTTGGCACTAGCAGGTTAGTTAAATCACAAGGTTCGCGGTGACATGCATTAATAGACGCCGAGAGTAAATACTGCGTTTTTCGACGGTAACTCTGACCTACTGCAGCTTACTTTTTTGGCTCCCACCCGACACCGAATCTTAGAGACGTTTGGAGTAAACACTCGAGACAGCCATAAACTGCCGACCGATAGTCTACACCTAATCTTCGTCTCAGTGTCGTCCTTTCCAGACAAAATAGAGGAAGTGAGCCGACGTCATAATAATTTAGTATGTGACAGAACCTCTTCGAAGATAGAAGGGTCAGAGCTGTAAGAGGTTGCTGATTACATACAACACAATTTTGTCCCACGTACAGGCCTTATATAGAGGCGCGGCGAGCAAACTCGTACTTGTGTCAAAAATTTTTGCTTTAGTAATCGGTATCATAAACAAAAAATGACTAGTAGCTAACAAAGTACCCAACGATATCGAACACATAAGTTCGACCAACACGTACGTTCTTCATTCTGACAAAGGACTGACAGATAACGGCCCCTTTCACACTCCCAACAATAAGTATCTAAATACCGACTAGTTATTACTTCCATGCAACCGTGTCATGTCTGGGATCAGAAAGACTACACGTACACGAGTACTGCTTTGCGCTATCGTTGGCGTTCAATCGCATTAACGTCGCCACATCGAATAACAGAGAATGACCTCGCGTCTCATATCTCTACCTAAAAATTTTCATACCGCACTCACACGACTAGGTTGTAGGAGTTCACCAGCAGTGTACATGAATACATCACGATACTACTTATCCACTAGTTAGGTTATTGGTCATCTGTGTGTACGCGCGTTATCTGCGTTTCTGCGTATATATGGTCCAGACACCACGGTTTGCTTAACTTTTTGACCGTGTTACCCCGGACTCGAGTGTATACGCTGACAATAATACATCAACACGTTGGGACAGTTGTAAGTTTCACATGTGACCAGAAGCTTAGACTTAGGTAAGTTAAGTAATTGTGTTTTTATATCCAATCTCATATTTTTGCCTACCTCTTAGAAAATGAGTAGACTTTCGTATTATTGATTAGTGAAGATTCCTTAGGCGTTAGCGTTTTTTCAGGCAAGGCCGAATGGTTCAACCATGTTATCACTCGCGTGGTCATCCTAGATGCGCCCTAAGAAGTCGTATGCGGGTCCTCTTCCGATCGTTTCCAACCACCCAACATCAAGGTGGTTCAGCTGTAAACTTTCAATACATATTTTCATCCGTTGTTTGTTGGTAGTTACGCATAGGAGAATGGTTAACCAAATCACTCTGTATCGCGTATCTATGTATTGGTTGGCAGTTACAGTGTACAACCATACAACTAATCATCCCAAACGTTCGGACAGTTGTAGTTTTCCAGCCTGACAGGACGCTTAACCTTAAGAGGTAAGCCAAACAAGAGCATGAAATCCGTACGCTTTGGACTTATAAGGGGGTATATCCAAGCATTTTGCCTACGTCATAAAAAAAAAGAGTCTTCGTTACATAGTGTACATAGAGGGCTTGCTTATAGATCTCCTTCAACCGTTTGTTTTTAGGACAAGCAATGTTATACAGAAAATGTTTTAGATCTTTGAGTTCATCTGATGAAAAATGGGAGCAAAAACAAAAGTGTTGCGTTTATATTTTTGTTCAGTGTAGCTCTATGATGAGAGTACCGGTGTTGTCAAAGTGTTGCCTTGTGCTCCTTCCTTTAACAGGAGTCGTTTGGAAAGATGTACGGTTTTATTCTCAGGTCTTAGACACTAAGAGTTAAGAGTCTGCTGGCTGGCAGATAGAGACAAGACTTGGGTTTGATCAAGATTTAAGGAGTTGAAACTCTCCTTGGACGTGTCTGTTGCTGTGAGACACACATTACTTGAGATTGAGAGCCTGAACATTTTGTTTTGAACCAGTAAAAGTCTGGGTTTGTGTTGCCCATCTGATCATGTCTCCATTCACCACGGAAAACATTTGTTGCAATTTCTCTAAATGATGTTCATTTGTCATCGTGTCTCAGTAATTGTGATATAATTTATGATATCTCTGAATTTGTGCAGCGGTAATACACATCTGCTGGCCCTAAGCCTCGCATACCAATCAGGGAAAGGCAGGCAAATGGAACAAATTGGTCTGTAACTTTGTTTAGGAGTATGGGAATATGCATCATTAAGGCACATTATCAACTGACATGACGCAGGCCTTAAGGGAGCTCCTGCTTTGTTGAAGACCAGCTGTAGAAGAAGGGTCCATCGATACAATATGCACATAAATAATCTGCTTACACGATGCATATTTCTAAATTAATATGTTTAATCATATTACTAGACAGAGAGCCTTGGGCTAGGTCGTTTTCCACCATAGAAATACTGCACACAATACACAGAGTATAATCAACATGCGTTAATGATCATTTGTTTCCCTGAGCAGGTGCATCTGATGCCAGCTCAAATATGACATTTCGGAAAGTGGTAAAATCTGTCATGGCTACATATTCAATGTTTGAGGAACCTGTTTCCAATACCCGTTCTTACTATTTTGCTGAAATATGCAATAAACTTCTTATTGCAGGGCTGTAATATATTGTATTGGTATTAGTTTTTAGGATACTCTCCCTTGCTTCTCCCCCCTTCCTCCCCCTCTGCCTCCTGTCCACTGAAGTGAGCACTAACCAGCTCCAGGCAGTGAAAACACTAAATTAGCTTGGAGACACTTTCTCCCCCTTCTCTCTCTCTCCTTCCTTTGCTGTCCATTAAAACAGAAAAACTAGGCGCTTAGAGTGCACGTGTCATTTGCTTTATTGAATAGAATCAGCCACGGTCACCCGCTCTGCTCAGCGGGAAAAACACCCTCAAAGTGATAAAAACACCACGATCCCAGGATAGGAAGCAAAACTGTGGAAGCTTTGAAATTCCCCAAGCTCAGTGGCCGTTGCTTATATCTAATGCATTTCTATCACTAACGGCACTTTGATGTCACCTCCCCTCTCCCCAATCCTCGCTGCCATCTATTAAACAGAGCGGCAGCAGTAAGTTACCCTAAATGAGTTTTAAGACTTCTTTTTTTTAATCAAAGCATCTCCCATGTGTATTTTCTTTGTCCTGCGCTGCTTGCGATTTATCAGATCGTGAGCCAGTCGATTCCAGCTACACTGAAACGTAAAGTAAAGAGCATAAAGGGACTGGTTTTGTATTAAAACATCTCCCAAGGTCTCCTTTCTATCTGCTCCATCTTTGCTCTGCGCCGCTTGCTGTCCATTAGCGGCCTGAACTGTGCATGTAAAGCTCCGCTCTCGTTTAGGTTCTGCTTCTCCTGACATGGACTCAGCTGACTGTTCCCGATGCTCACTCACCCATTAGGGAGGAAAGAGTTTATTCTCCCTCCCTCTCCCTCTCCGTTTCTCTTTTTGTCTCTACATGTTCTCTTCTTAGCTCGTGCTTATAGCCTCTCTCTCTCTTTTCCCCCACCAGTACATGAATTCTTGCACTTTCTGCCTCACTCTCCACCGCTCTCATCTTGTTCCTTCTGCATGTTTTTGGTGGCTTATAGCTCTTCTCTTTTTCCATCTCCATCTTTATTCAGCAGCTCTACATGTCCTCTTCCATTCGTCTTCTCTCTCTTCCTCTCTCTATTTATCTGCAGAGGTGGAAGACATACCGACGCCTTTCTTCAATTAAAATAGTACCACGGTTTAAATGTTGCTTTTACTTCAGGACCACTTGGATTAAAATAATAATTGGGCAGAGTGAAATTAATCAATACTGATGTATTAACATTTACATTTTGAAGCTGGTCAAGGTGTTGCTAATTTATAATTATGTTAACTAATCTACTATCTCCTTTAACTGAGATACAGATAGGCTTTTTTTTGTTCTAAATTTATCTTCAAATCCTCCCAAAACTAAGATTAGACCGTCTACTTAATACTTAAAATGAATCCATTGGCTCCTACTGAAATTATTAATCTTTTAAAACGAGTCACCAATATTCAAAATGTAATAAAGACTGGCTTTTGAAAACAGCCTGGGACTGCAGATTTGAGGAAATGTTACTCAAGTTGGAGTAAGTAGCGCATTTGTTGGTTACTGTTTTATGCCATGTTTAAAAACACATTTGAAACTCACTTTAAAACTAAAGGTGGGGTATGTAATTTATTTCAGAAACACTTTTTGTTATATTCCATGGAGTGCTCTTAACATCCCGATAGCAATGAATATATTAAATGCTTTGACAATAAATACATACTGTGGAAGCCGTGGCGCTGTAAAAAGCACGACCAATCATCTGAGCCGGCCCGGCTAAAATAACTGGATGGCCTACCTGCCTGTCAGCCTTCCATCTGCGCACAAACGTATCTCGTGCCCTCATTGGTCATGTGCGCGTTCGTGTGTGTTGGAGGAGGGGCTCTGTAATNGAAGTCCAGGGCAAAACATTACAAGTCTCTTCAGTGCGCATGTCACAAAATGAGATGGATTGTGGGACATGTAGTTTATGGACAACGTGCTTCTGTAAAGCGGCATTCAACCGTATAATAAACATATTATATTCTTTGCAAGCTCTTGCGGGCTACATAAAATAATTGTCGCGGGCCGGATTTGGCCCCCGGGCCTTTAGTTTGACACCGCTGGCTTACTGCTTATTGAGATTTTACTGACATCTAACAAGAAAGTATTTTTAAGGAAATATTCCTTTTGAAAAATGTTGCCCTGCAGATATTATATTAAAATCTTATATATTATAATATATGTATTATAAAAGAACCTAAAGAACATCCAAGCCATTGTTGTTCTTTAATGGATTGATATCATAAATATTAAGTATGAATGTATCAAGTATTGTATTGCATTAGGGTCTGCTGCAGTGATTTACACTTTTAAATGTTGTTTTACTTTACAATGTAAATGCTAAATCAGTGGAGTACATGTTTAAAGAGACTCAGAACTGCCTTGTCTGATTGTATAGAAAGGAAATTAAGTTGCTTTTCCTTTTCTAAGACATGTGTTCAGATAGTAGTACAACAAATGAGGGAAATCAGGACACTAAATTGGCCTGACCTGAACTCAGTAAATCATAACAAACATTGATAAATAAAATAAAAAAACCTGCCCTTTTAAAACCAGCGTTATTTAATTGGTCAGATAATTTGTGGCTTTAGTTCCGATCATTATCTAATCACAGGACTCATAATGTAGAATACACTGGCTGCCATTATAGCCGTGCTCATTGGTTGTTTGCATCTCCCCCAACTGCTGTTAGCCTGTAGCGCCGGCTGCACGGTGATGTATGGCGGCTGTTTTCTAATTGGTTTGTGGATCAGCCCACATACTTTGCTGCTGCTGTCAACCGTCATTGGCCTCTTCCTAGTGGGGTGACTCTCATTTCATTTCCATGACAACTGCGTGGACCTGCTTCACAGCCAAAGGGAAAATGTACTACAAGTAAATAAGCAGTATTTCTCAGTAGAGGTCATGCAAGTAGAGAAAATGTGTTTCTGTGTGGCGTGGACTCTGAGTTACAGAGGGTTAGTTTTCATCTTTTTTGGATGGTAGTTATATGAAAAGGTTATGAGGTTAATTGCAGACATAACACATGAAAGCAAAGCGTCCAGGCTCTGGTTATTTCCTGACATTTTATCAGGAATGTACTGATGTGTTTTTTATTACATGTAACTAATATTTTTCCGCCCACATCTGCCAGATCAAATATGGATTATCATGAGAATCTTACAAAAATAAACACTAGGGCAAAACAGACTTTATTTCAAATCTTTTAAAACAAAGCAGTTGGTAATTATTGTGTTTTTTGTAATAAACTGGTATAAACAAGACAAACGTCATTAAAAAAAGTGTGTGTGTGTGTGTGTGTGTGTGTGTGTGTGTGTGTGTGTGTGTGTGTGTGTGTGTGTGTTTTTGTGTGTGTGTGTGTGTTAATGTTAAAAGGGAACAGTGTGTGACTGCGAGACAGCAGTTCTAAAATTGAAGTGTGTTGGATTTGATATTCCTTTTTCCTTTTTGTTCCTAATCATCATTTCCAACAAATATTTACATGTCTTCTTTTTTTGTTGAATTTATTTTGAATAGATAATATTTCTAAAAAGCATTTCTACAACGATAGTTAATTGGAAGTGAATATTTTGTAGGTGTTTCTTAAATATCTGTTTTAACGTTTTCTGCTGCCTATTTCTAATGTATCTTTCTGTCCTTTTGTTCTTGTCTTCAGGCCAACGTTGCTGCGGGAACAACACTACCAATATCTCAAGAAGGGCTTACGTCACTTATCAGATGCTTATGAGGTACCGTATTACACCTGATAACTACATGTTTATGGATATTTGTTAATCCTGTGACACATACAGTACATCCTCTTCTCACACTGGAGCTCCTGTGTAACTCTCACTGCCTCTGGATGATTATCTCCCTGCTTTAAATAACAGAAATACCATTGTATTCACTCTGCAAGGTAACAGGCTTGTTCACTCTCAGGAAGGTCACCTCTCTTTTTGTGTGTCATTCTCTGCTCTCTCCTGAAAAATAGAGAGGAGAGCATTTGTTGTCAGTGACACACTGTTCTGACCTCAAACTGTTTATTTTGATTGACAGCACGGTGCTTATCTGTGCGTAAACATCGCAGCACTGCCGGAAAAGGGAATTAGAAGCTGAGTCATGATATTATGTAAGAAAAACAACACAAAAGACATCAAGTCACTGATTTTTTTCTCATCGTATATTTACCCAACACTGAGAATAAGCAGTGTGATATTTTTGCTCGTCTATCAGCCTGTTTTGCTCCTGAAGGCCCGGCCTCTGCTGCTCTGTTTCCTCTCGTCTCCGTCCGACTGACTGATCTTGTTTATTGCTATAATTGGTCGTGTGTGTGTGTGTGTGTGTGTGTGTGTGTGTGTGTGTGTGTGTGTGTGTGTGTGTGTGTGTGTGTGTGTGTGTGTGTGTGTGTGTGTGTGTGTGTGAGATAGTGTCTGGATGCCAGTAGACCGTGGCTGTGCTTCTGGATTCTTCACAGTCTGGAGTTACTGGAGGAGCCCATTCCTGCTGCTGTCGCCTCAGNAGGTTCGGTTAAAATCCTCATGCAGTAGCTCACGGGCGCTTCCTGACAAGGTAGAGGCGTATGAACCCTTGACGGTGGCCTCCGGCGCAGGAACCAAACCGCCCATTAAAGCTCCGACGTGTACCATCTGAAGCGCAGGAAATTTAGGGGTGTTTACCGAAACGCGTGCCGGTAAAGGGGTTAGACAACGCGCCTTTTACATATGCCCCGGAGAGTTAATACTGCGTGTGGACGTGTGAACGACGGACAGAGGTGTAGAAGCAAAAGCTACGGTCAAACTTCCTAAGAACGGACGAAGACTCGAACACGATGTTCGTTCGTAGGAGCGCCTAACTCTTTGCCGGTTGATAGCAATGGGATTCGAAATTGGGAAAATAAAATTTACACATATTACAGCCCTCAAAAAACGGGCAGGCGGCCCTTTATTTACCCCGAATCGTCGGGGTCTTATAACTTTAGACGAAAAAAAGATTTAGGAAAAAAAGGAAGATAAACAATATATAAACCACGCCGTGCTGTGTATGATGGTTAGCTTTATGTAAGGAAGATTAGCAAAGACGACACTACTTATGACTTTAACATAAAAATTTAGAGAAAAAGGAAAGATTAAACAATAATAACTGTAACGAAAATTTTAGCACAGACACACCTGTGTCTTTCTTTACGCCCTTTACACAACCACTTGTCTTAAGTTAAACAATTACGGCACTGACATTGTGCTCTTACGCAACTCTGACAACAACTTGTAACTCGAATAAACCACAAAAATAGAATAAAAGTTACGTTCACTAAATGAGTTTCTGACGACGTTAATATATACTTTTACTCGACTGACACGAGAACAGTGTCGAATGATACTTTCAGTTCTCTCTTAGTCTTTTTTTGAGAGTTGTCAGATTTGTCAGTAATCTTTCTCTACCCTATCGTGCTATAACACATAATTACATATATTTATCAGCCCGTAACTTGGAGGACGTGTGGACCGAAACAGTTACATGTATAACGTCACATGGTTAGGCTTAGGGTAAGATATTGAGTAAGAAAATGTTTTTATGAACCACACAGCTTCTGGTCTTCCAAGACCCGACCGGACAAAAAGATGTGGTGCAGGCACGAAATACTACCAATAGAAATACATTGCTTTGAAAATCGTTCTGTGTGACATGAAAAAAAGGGGAAAATCGTGTTGGTGAACACAAATCAATAGATTCAATTAATTTCGTGACTCTAACACGAAATGCTGTGAGACTGGGTTGAAAGGTTAGCACCTCTTAGCTTCAGGTTTTGGTCGGCTTCCCTGCTGTTTTTTGCTGATTTTGGTTACTTAATTCCCATGAAACCCATTTTAATATTGTGTCTTTTCTCTATCATGGCAATGATAACAACAGTTAAAAACAAGAAAGACAGAAAAGCAGAATACATTTAACCTTAAATCAGAACAAAACAACAACAGGTAAACACATGACTGAATTAGATACCAGAAGCTGAAACCAAACAAAACACTAAATGCAGGAAAACATCCGACAAAGCAATAATCGGATAACAAATAAAAATCCCTTAAACAGAATTAGTCAACAGGATGTGCTAATGCGCTTAATGTGCATTAAAAAAAAATGGACTATGAATGGTGCTTTTGTCTGTCGTCTGTATTGCACCATAGAAAGTGGATTTCAAGGCTCTGATGATTGAACATTTGAAGAGAGAAAATAACCAATTTGGGCGGCAGAGATAAAAACAAAAACACAAGCTGATTAAAGGCCCTCTCCTCTCAGAGCAAACTAATGAAGCAAACACAAAAGATAAAATCAAACACAAACAGAATTGGAAAACAGGAATCTAAAACCCCAATACAATAAGTAAAACCACCAGTATCTGCAAGCAAGAATTGGACAGCTCCCAATCTGTAAATATGTGAATATATTTGTATTCCCATGAAGCCTGCTCTTCGGAGACGTGAGGAATTTCTCCTGACAGCAGTGACAGGCAGGAAGTCCTTTCTGCATTTTCAACGCAGCCGTCTTGGTTTTCATCTTCGGCAAAAACACAGGTTTCTTCCTCACATCCCTGAAGCACTTTAGCTTAGCCGTTTTTTCCACCAAACGGACAAATCTGAACCGCGCTTGGTGCTTTCGGGAAGTAAAAAAAACACCCTGAGTTGCGTGCGTGTGCGTGTGGGTGTGCATGTTCCTCTCCCTGCATCCGCCATCTGCAGAGGAAAGAACTCTTTGAACTGTGAACCAATGAGCATCACAGCAGCAGAAAGATGTTGCTAGGAGCACTTCCTACATCCAGCTGTGGACCTGTGCAAAACACACGCGCATAAAACATACACTGAGTGCACACCCAAAACAAACGTGTCTGTCTTAAGGCCATACTGTCAAGGTGATAGTTTATGGATGTTACCTCCCTCTCCTCCGCCTCCTCCCGCTCGTTTCTCCTCTTCATCGCAGAATAACACGTTATGTATCTGGAACACGTTATCTCCTGCTTACATTGGTGCCATTTCTTTTTCTCTCTCCCTCCATCTCTCTTTCTCTCCCTTCATCTCTCCTTTTTTCTATCTAATGCATAGAGACAGGGTGGATGTATAATTCATACCCCCTCTGCCAGCAGTGCTTCTCTTGCTGTGTTTGTGACTGTGTGTGTGCGTGTGCGTGTGGGTGTGTGCACGCGCGCGCGCCGAAGAGACAGATCTCACCCAGTGAAGCAAAGCGGAAAGAACGGGTCATCTGGGTACGTTTGAGTTGGTGTGTGTGCACATGTGTGTTTACCTCTGCCTTTACATCGCAATAAATGATGTATAGGCGTGGGAACACTCTCTTGCTGAATGTTCTATACGTTTCATTATGCAGCTCAGGGTTAAAGGAAGCGTGTGTGGGCAAATCGCTTGACGTCTGTTTTCCTTCGGCGTATTTATTGGTTTAGGGATTCGTATTTATCTCCGCGTGGCGTGCGCTGCTGCGCCGCTTACGAAACTGTAAAAGCAGGCCAGCGCTCGCTCTCTGAAGGCAGACATGCTCCTCTGAGCTCGAGTTTCTCTGAAATAGAATTTTGGAGGGCAAGACCCACCTCTCTTCTCCACTCAACCATGCACTTACTCATTCCCTCTGGGGAGGAAAGAGGGAGAGAGAAGGAGGTATAGGAGTGGGAGGAAGGAGAGGGAGAGGAGATGAAAGAGGGGCGTAAAGTGCAATGGAGGAGAGGAGAAAATAGGGAAATGGCCAAAGAAGGAAGGAAGTGATGAAGGCGAGAACATGGCTGGGAACATGGTGACTGATGCACAGTGATCTACTCCTACATTTAAATACAATATTTCCTATTAGTTCTACTTTAAAACATTACTGAGGGAAATATTTATGTAACTGTTAATAGATTAAGAAAACAAAACCAAACATACATTTACACTTTAAAGGTGGGGTAGGTAAGAATAGAGAAACCAGCTTGAGTGCGCTAGAATTTGAAAAAATCTGCCCCTTCCTTCAGACTTCATTACAGAGCCCCTCCTCCAACACACACGAACGCGCACATGACCAATGAGGGCACGAGATNAATCCAGAAGCACAGCCACGGTCTACTGGCATCCAGACACTATCTCACACACACACACACACACACACACACACACACACACACACACACACACACACACACGAGTGTGTGTGTGTGTGTGTGTGTGTGTGTGTGTGTGTGTGTGTGTGTGTGTGTGTGAGATAGTGTCTGGATGCCAGTAGACCGTGGCTGTGCTTCTGGATTCTTCACAGTCTGGAGTTACTGGAGGAGCCCATTCCTGCTGCTGTCGCCTCAGAGTGGGTCACACACACACACACACACACACACACACACACACACACACACACTCTCTCTCTACAGCAAGACTGCTACTGAGAGGCACTGCCAAATGCTTTTTGTTATTTATCACCCTTGCATAAAGTAGTTCCCATAATTAGTAGTGATCAAATGCTGCTGCAATACAAACACTTATGAAAATGAACTGCAGCAGCGACTCATAAACTCATTGTACGACATGCTAGTAATTGTTGTTTATTGTGTCATAAAGTAATGCAATATGCATGCAAGTGATTTTTTTATAGCACACTTCAGGCAGTTCAAAGTGCTTTACGTTAAGAAAATAATCAAGATGAAATGCAGAAATAACAACAAGAAATTAGTCTTAAAACTAAAAACGTCATTGGTGCAAACATATTATTATACTGTGCATGAACACACACCAGTCATGACAAAATAACTTGTTCCAGTTTTACGAGTGTCTTCCATCCGAAGCTTAATAAATAAAATATGGCTCTAAAACCCCACCAAGACAATCCTCAGAGATTCAGAGGACACTTTTACAAAAATAAATAAATTAAATGATCCTATAATGAGCAATAATCCATGTGGGAATCCATTTTTCCCAAGCCAGGATTGACATTTGTTAGTGTTGTGCTGTTAAATCATTTCCTGCCTCTCTAGAAACAACTGCAATAATTCATCTGTCTTCTAATTAAACCCCCATAGAATTGAATACTCATGTTAAAAGTAAGAGTCAATTAATGTTTTTCCTCCAATCATAATGGCCCATCATTCTTGATTGGTCTAAACAAGTGGGTGTATAATTTTAGAGATGTTTGTGCAGCAGTAACTTTAAACGCTGATGCTTTTATTGCCACCGAAATGTCATTTGATTAAATTACTGCCAGTCCAAACTAACACTCCCGGGGCCACGGCCATACCAGGCTGCCAGCCCACGCTCTCATTACGACTGAGAGGCGTGCCAACACACCGGCTGGCACTGCCCTGCGCTCACACACACACACACACACACACACACACACACACACACACACACACACACACACACACACGCAGAGAAACACACAGGCCCTGTTTGAGGATTCATAACAATACAGCAGATTGCTTTCTCCGTCCCATGAAATGCACACTGTTCTCAGGTCAGTGCTGGCCAAAGTTAACGTGGCGTTCTCGTCCAACTCACTTGGCTCACGACAGTTTTGTGATTTCTCTCCACGGCTGAGGATAAAGAGGACATTTATGAGGGAAGCAGCTCAGTGCACAGAGGCTGCAAAGATATTAAACAGTGGGTCAGATGCCCGGTGCCACGTCAGCTCTAGAGTCTGCTGACTGACACGTAGATAGCAACTGTGTGTGTGTTTAATGTGAGGAAAAGCTGTGTCTCCATGTTAGGGTATAAGTCGACAGGTGTTGGCATTTGTTTTCGAATCTTAAAGGGCATTCTAATCTATTTTCATATTCTTTTCGAGCGTCACTCTGCTAAAGTAGATACACAAATACACACTGTGTTCTGACCCAAATGGAAAGGGAGCAGACCCATTACTTAAGAACATAATCATATTTAGCTGTTTTTTCAGTATAAGTAGGAAAAGGTCCTGATTCAATCTTCAACATTTCCTTGAACAAGCTCATGTTTTCTTATTTGTTACATCTTTTCAATCTCAATTTTTATTTATAGCACATTTAAAGCAACCTCAGTTGACCAAAGTGCTGTACAGGGAATACATACAATATCAAATAACAGTCAAATAATAAAACAATAATTAAAAACATGATTAAAAAAAGCACAATAACTAGAAACATATAAAAACACATACAAATATAAAAATGTTATGTTCAACTATTATTAAAAGTCAACTACACTGACAGGAATTGTGCAGCAAAACAAATAAGAATAGCTATGCTTTGTCTTCCGCTCTATCTCCATGGTTACAGTTTCATAACCGGTGCAGATGCATTAATCAAATTACGCAAGAAGCACTTCCTGTTTTTGTTGACGAATATTTCAGTGTCATTGTTATAGTGTCTGTCTGTGTGTGTAAGTACAATTCTCCTCCCTCTCTCTCCAGTGTGTGTCAGTTTCTGTCTCGCTGTCAGAGCCCGACGGGGGGGTTCTCCGGGGGTCCGGGCCAACACGCCCACCTGGCCCCGACCTACGCTGCGGTCAACGCCCTCTGCATCATCGGCACAGAGGAGTCCTACAATATTATAGACAGGTACCGTCACCCCACTGCCTTTGTACCACACCAAGGTGAACATAGCACACAGGAGAGTTTCTGTTGAAGCAGAACTCAAACAGAATTCACTTGTCTGTTATAAAACTCCTTCTAAGGCTGCTCTGAAGGGTTAAAACCTCCATTACCTGGATATTCAAATCTTTTTTTGAATTCTGATCAAATAAAAATAATGAGGCCACTCTCATAGTGTTAGTGTCAGCAGTGCTGTATACATATACCTTTGACCAGTGGTGTAGTGGTCGTTGGACACGGGGGATCGCCGTCCCCCACTTTTTTGAAGCATGATTTTTTATTTTTTATAGTCTAATAAATATAAAATCATTGCCAGTGTTATCAGTTGCAAGTGTGTATTTGTTGTAATAATGACAAAATAATACATTTCACAGCAATTACAATAACAACGTAGCTCAAGTATTTATGCAACCTGATTTGAAGCGTGTGTGTGTGTGAGGGGCAGCACCGTGTGTGTGTAGGGTGACCAGGTGTCCCACTTTGTGCGGGACTGCACACACAGCGTTTTCATCATTTGTCCCGCGTCCCACAAATTGAGACTATGTCCCGCATTTGAGTGACAGTCGCGCAGAAAAAAGGCTGGCTCGGTTCGCTGACGGCCGGCACTGCCCTTAATTATTATATTTTTTAAACGGCATCCTGTAAGTTGCTCTGACAGGTGACACAGAGGTCCACAGTGTACCCCCCCTCCCCCATTGAAGGTTCACGAGTGCGTCCATAGTATCTCTCCCCGCCCCGTCCACCCCGTCCATAGTATCTCTCCCCGCCCCATCCACCCAGTAAAACAATCCCCACTACACCACTGCCTATGACTCACAGAGCATTACATCAGGACACTAGGACAGAGATAACACCATACACTCCACATAGTAGAATATACACAACACTGTTTGTATCGACGCCCCCTGAAGGTATCACTGGGTTTTTATACTGTGGTCACATGCCTGCCTCTATACTATACATAGAATAATAAAACATAGGCTTCTTTCATGTATTTCAGTTTGACAGCATACATATAATTGAATAAATACCTTATTTTAAGAGCCTTTTTAACGGTTGTGTTGACATGAATTCTGACTCGTATTTTTTTTTGCATTGATATCAATCTTTTGATGTATCATTTGTCCATTGTATTCATAACGTGCAGCACTTACTCTGACTTTCCTTCCTCCCCTCTGTTCTGCCTCTCCTTTCATCCCCCCCCCCTTTACTCTATATATTATTCGCTCTTCTCGTCCCCATACACCTCCTCCTCTTCTTCTTTGAAACCCCCCCCCCTCTCTCTCCTCCTGTGCTGACCCTCTCCAGGAAGAAGCTCTTAGATTTCCTACTGTCAGTGAAGCAGCCAAATGGCTCGTTTGTGATGCACGTTGGAGGGGAGGTGGATGTCAGGTGAGATAGATACCC